ATCGATCCTATTACACACATCCTTGATGTTTGATGTGCGACCAGTTCCAGATGAATGATGGAGAATTGTTAATTAAAAAAACGTTTCAGGTGCGAAGAGAGTATGCTGTTAACTTCGGTAAACCGCGAATTGTACGCTCGGACGCTGTTCCTTCTAAACGAAAATCGTTTCGTTTCGTTGATCTCCGTACTTTTCTAAACGATTGAAAGAAACGAATATTTTCGCTGAAGGAAAGGGCGGCGTGAAGATCACGGAATACGTATAACAGTATTTGCAATAGGAAGCGTTAGCTTCGGTGTTCAAGCATTTATTTCCAAGATTGTGCGAGAATCGATTTGGGAGGAAACGTTTTACTTAAATTCGGAAGCGAGTATTTCTATTCCAAATACCGTTCTACTCGAACTTGTGATACGTTCTACGGATAGAGGAACAAAAAGATTACGTCCGCTTTTCCGTTAAACCTTTGAAATTCACGTCACGGATATATATATCACTATCGTTTTCCGCGAGGCATAGCAATAATCGAAGTATAGACGTTCTTAAGGGATTACTTTACGATCTTCTTCGTTTGTATATAATGTGTACACATCTGAGGCACTCGGGTTAACGTGTGTAGATGAAATTTTAATGATAAACGTTACGACTAGTTTGAGTGATTATTACCCGTATCCGAACGATCGTTTTTTACATTGTAAAAAGAATGTTGTTCTGTTAAAACGATGCCGCTTACATCGACGTGCGGGTAAAGAAAAAAAAGAGAACGAAAACATCGTTTTAGGCGCGTTACGTGTTCTGCGTTCCTTAGCTCGATTGTCCGTAAACAAATTTTTTAAACACGATAAACTGAGAGAACAGCTTTTGACACGGTTAGGACGAACTAATTGAACTTTGTTTCATTTAAAGACGTTCTCAGAGCATCGTTACTCTTAATGAATGTGCAACTTGGAATATTTTAAGGAAATGGACAGTTTAGCTAAGTTCGTACTGCAGAATCTATGTATATATACGTAATTACGTATTTTATCTAAATTAAGCTTTTTTTATTTGTTAAATTCTTCGAATCGAGCAACAACAGACAAAACTGAGAAATAAAATTATAAATACATGAAACGACCAATGAATGATTAAAAAATAACTCGGTGATTTTAAAAGACTATGAAATTTAGTTGGTGACAAGATCCGAATTATTTTAACACATCTTGTCGCGGTTGTTAAGTTTTCTACGCATAATAAAATTTATCGACGTAAACACTTATAACGATGCCGAGAATTATGCTATGATTTACAAATCTCTTCTCTTATGCACATAACTGAACGTAAATTGTATTTGAAATACTCTCGTATAGTCGAAATAGAACAGAGAGCGAACAATCGTGTAAAACTACCACCGTAATCTGTGTGTAAAATAAATTCGATCGTATCGTTTTCCAGAATTCTGTGAAATTACAAAACGGCGACACGTGGACATATTCTTTACAGTAGTTGCAATAAAATAAAGAAATTTTTATAAATACCTGTATCGAACGTTTTCTATCTTCCTACACCTTGCGAATAAAACGTGAATGTCGTGAATCGAACTTTTCTTCTGTTAACTTCACTCCGTACTTTAAACGGTTTGTCATTGGGAGCAACAATTGAGTCTTGTTGTTAGCCGTTTGTATTCAATTGGATAGACACTGCACAATGGAAGCGTTAAATGATATTAATAATATCGCCGAATGCATATTAGAATTGGTACGTCACTTATTTCTATTTCGTCTAGAATTTCGGTTCTTTCAATTTTTCTTGTTTAAACGAGTTGACACTTTGCAATCGCAAGGTGTCGAATTCTTTAAATGCGAGCGCCACGTCGATCGCAATAAGAGTTCACAGGGGTGAACGTAAAATTCAAGTAATAGACAATGGGAAAGGAATATCGAGATTGCAATTAAAATTGATGGCTGAATACAACAAAAAACACTTTGATTCGTCAAAACTACAAAATCCGAGGAGCAAGACGTCGTTAATCAAAATTCGTAGATTGTCTAACGCTCTGATGATTACTTCTAGACATTACAAGTCTCCCACGACTTACCTGAAGGTACACAATCTTCGTAGTTAAATAAGAACCTTTTACAATTTTCTTTTAAACCTATATAGTAAATGTCCCAGTTTCTGGTCACATCACGATTTCTACTTACTGGCTCTTTCTATAATTTAACACTTTGACTGCCATGAGGCTCACGGGTGACTGATACACCGTAAACAAAGACAGTTGTCCTTCGCAAGTGGTCTGACGGGGATTTCCTTAAAAATTCGCGTGGCAGTCAAAGTGTTAATATGTAATGTAATGTATGTGTATCTTAAGTCAATAAGTAAAAATTGTGAAATAAACAGAAACACTATATTTTAGGTTTTCGAAGCATTCCAAAGTCCAAAGTTTTTTGAAATCGAAAGGAGACCTTGTCAGGGTACGTCTGTGATCATTTGTGGATTCCATGAATTAAGTTTAAAGAAATGGGACACATTTTCCGTGTGTTTCTTAATTCGAAACATTGCCATAGCCAATCCGCAAGTACGTGAAGAATGACATATTTTTAACTATAATCAAACTTGAAATTAAAATGTATGCAGGTTTCGTTCACCATCAAAGATAATGAGACAATGGACATTACCATGGCAATCACGAAGCTTCGTAGTCCAACAGTTATCTTTAAAACATTATACAGCAGAGAACTGCAGCATCACAAGATATGGTACATAAAATCTACGAACAGATCTGACATCAAGTTCCATGCATACATTGGACTAACTAATAGTACTTCCATTCAGTACATTTTCTTAAACAATAAACTAGTCTCTTGTCCCTTGATTTTACAAGTGATATCAGCTGTTTTCACGAATTCATTGAAGTTTATTGGGAAAGAGCAGAATTTAGAGATATCATTGAGGAGGAGAAGAATCTTTATTTTACTATTTATTATGTGTGAAGCAGAGTACGTTTTCACGATCGATGAAAATCAAAAGAGAATTTTAATTTTTCGTAATATACAAAACTTTTTACACAGAATTAAAAATAAGATAGTGAGAGTATTTATCAAAGGCGCTGCACCACTGTCTGTCAGTCACAGTGCTAAAGAACACAATAGCAGTGACGCACTATTGACTGTTGATCCAATTCCATTTATTACACCAATTTCAATAAAAAATGCCACATTTTTACCCACTCATAACTCACATCACATTAAGGAACATAATGAAGAATACAAAACGAATGAAATATCATCGATCGCAAACTTGACTCAACTGATTGCACCTATCGTACATGATGAAAATGTTAATAAAGAAGACACACTATTAAGTCTCTCAAACTGGTCTAACTGGTCTTCTGTTAAGAATTTAAATAATAAAACTAATGGTTTTAAGTTTTACAAGCAGTTCGACTTTTTGCCACGAAATCTGCATAAACTATTACGTGGTAATAAAAAGTTGGTGATGACTGATCTCTTGAATGAATACAATGAAAGTCTAATGAAATTAAGAACGAAATGGGAAAGTATGCAGCTTTAATCAGAGAACGAATAATCACGATTGCGGGACTCTTAAACTTCTCCTCTTCCAGTTCCACCTTTATTACCCCGTCAAGAAATTGACATACGTCCGTGTAAATATATTCAGAAGTATCGTGAATTTACATTAAAGAAAGAAAATTTGAAATATGTAAAAGTATGTAGGTGAGATAATACAATATTATAAGAATATTAATGGGTCAGTAGGAACACTTGGATTACTATAAATCTTATCTCCTCAGATAATAGGACAAATGAATAAGGAACTGATAGTAGGATTGACCATTAAAAGCGATATGAAGATGCTTTTATTAATGGACCAACATGCAATTCACGAAAGAATAAGATACGAACAACTGCTTCAGGGTAATGATTAATAATCTTACACAGAAAAGTGTCAATAAGACGATGTGTACACAGTACACTTATTATAAACACTAATTCTTTAGAGTACAAATCGCAATTGAAAAACGAACTACTGTCCATCAAATTAAAAGAGCCCATTGTCATACAGTTACCTGTACACAGTTCTACTTTACTTTTATCCAATCGATCGGTGTTGAATAAATTCGGTATAAAATTCAGTATGACAAGCAGCAAGCACAGTATAATAATACACACAGTACCGGAATTATTAGAAAGGAACAAGTATCATTCCGACGTATTGAAGTTGAAGTCAAAAACACAGAATCTTTTGAACGAATTACTAGAAAATATTGCTAGCTACAAGTGCCCTCAGTTGAACAGCTTACCACTTACCATTCAGGACGCTATTGCATCGGAAGCTTGTCACGGTACGTGTACTCTTTCCGTCGCGAATAAAATGCACAACGAATAAAATAAAAATAGTCATGGATATATATATTTCAGAGGCAAACAATAATAGAGTAACAATCTCATTGGTTTTTATATAACGTATACTCGCTATCATCTAATTTAAAGAGTATTTCAGGGTCTATCAAATTTGGAGCTCCGCTGACGTTGAGAAAATCCAAATGGCTTTTGAAATTATTAAGCGGGACGAAGAATCCTACACAATGCGCGCACGGACGTCCATCTATAATACCTCTATTGGATCTAATAGATTTGGAGACACGACGCAAGAAAACGGTCCCGGTATGTAATAATATTTAACTTCATATTTAAAAGAATCTATCTGTACTGTTTAAAAAAGTATATAATCTTACATGCATGTTTCTATCTAATTTAACGATTGCCGACGCATTTAGATGTCGGGATATCCCGAGATTAGAATATCTTTTCCAAAGTAATTGATTCGGCTGACGATAATCGAGAACTCATGCCCTGCTAAAGAAACTGGGCAGAGGTTGTTAGGCCGGGTAAAGAAACACATCGTGTATAAAGCGAATTCCAATTCTGGCGACGTGCCGACGAACAGAGTTGAAACCGGCTGCACTATGTCATTCAGCGATGAACGTATTTTGAGAACTGCTCCTTTCTGTAAAAGGAAACAAGATAACAATTTGACTCCCATTAATATTCGGACACACTTGGAAATAGAATTAAACTTACATCGCCCAACTTGAGATCCTTGATATAGCCGAGATAATTTAGATTCTTCGCGGATTCTTGCTTCGCGTAATAGATCCAATTGTGCAGTCCAATGATATCCGAATCGAATTTCTCAGCCAGGAACACAGTCTCGAATCCGGAACTGGACGCGTCTCCATCGATACGTTTGAACTGAGAGAACCAAATTCGTTTCAGCGAATCTTTAAATTCGTACTCGTCGTCCGGAATGTATCCCTTGTTGGCTAAGAATTTCATAGTCGACTTCATCACTTCGGTTTCGAGGATCTTGTCGATCAGTTCCGATTCCTCTCTACGTTCTTCGGATGTAACGACTTCTTTCGTTTTCACGTCTAGCTCGTAATTATCATGCAACGCAAGTACAGCTTTTACTGTTGGGATCTCATAAGCTTCGTCCTTCACAGTTAACAGTCTGAAACCGTAAATTAAAAAGAATTAAAAATGTATTCAGCTAAAACACAGCAGTACCTTCTGTTCGATTTTATAAAAGTTATTCAGTTTAGGTGTAGGTTCAATTTTGGTATTTACTGTATAGAGTAAGATTTGTCGTCTACTTACGGTTCAGCAGCATCGTCATTAGTGCTGTCATCCTTCTTCTGGCCTTGCAAATTTATCGTTATATATTTAAGAGCGCTGTTCGTTTCCTTCTCGTATAAACTTTCTGTCAACTTTTTGAGATCATCGTTTGAGGTAACGAATCCCAATGGATTAGGATTGTTCTGTCCCGATTGATCTTGAGAGTTCGAGTTGCTCGGTGGTGCACTATTGGTACCAGCGTTGGCCTGCGACGTTTCGGTCTGACCTGCTGGTGGAGCCGCAGCCGCCGGGGCCGCCGGGACCGCCGGAGCAGGTTGGGCAGCTGAGGCCGCTGCAGCCTGCTCGGTGTTTGGAGCAGGTACAACAGCAGTTCCATTATTGTAGTAATTATTATATGTAATTTCGGTGTGAGAAGGAACTGCGCTGGCGCTGCCGCCGCCGCCGGTGCCTCTAGTGCCATAAATTCCTCCCGGTATCAATCTGTTCACAGCCGCATTTACTCCGGCGCTCACGCCAGCGAAAACGAACGCTTCTTTCGCTAGTTGTCCAATGCCAGGCTTCGATTGTTGCAATAAAACAGTTTGCTGTGGCATCTGTCCCATGGAGGGGCTATAAGAGTGTCCGTACGATGGTTGCCCGAAGCTCGGTGCTCCATACGCTGGCGGAGCTCCGTGAACTGGCGGAGCTCCGTAAGCTGGCGGTGCTCCATAAGGAGCGTGTCCTCCCACTCCCGGATTGTAACTACCCGGTGGACTATACGGTGGTGGAGCGCCGTAAGGATGTCCCGGTGAAGGATTATAGCCTTGACCAGGCGAAGGGTTGGAACTCTGATACGGATTATTAGCTTGCTGACGAGGATATCCACCTAGAAATTATTTTTCTTCTATAGTAATTCCTATTGTTATTATTATGGAAAGTGTTTAGTATACCTGAAGGATTGTATCCAGATTGAACGTTCGACGCGCTGGATTTAGCCGCGTGTTCGTTAACAGGAGCGGACGGTTTCGGTCCTGCGTTAGTTGCAGTAGGCTTCTTCTCTGGCACATTCCATCCTATCTTACCCGGCTGTGAACCTCCTGTATGTCCTGAAGAATAATAGTTCAAATTTTAATTAAGTAGGAATATGCTTGGTTGCGTAGATGAAATAAATAGTTCTGATCGCAGGGAGTAACGAATTCTAATGGAATTAAGAACTACCTGTTTTCTTGAAATTTGAACTCGAACTACTGCCTCTCGAGCGGGACGAATACAATCCCGATGAACCTCCGCTTCTTCCTCTCTTCCCATTGCTGGTATCAACTGTTCAGACAAAGTTAATAAAATATAAGAGAAACCTGCGACGTAGGATTCTTAGAATAGGCGTTCAACTAATTGAATTGTAGACTATGCGCGAACGGATTACCAGCCAACGAGATTGACGAAGCGTAAAAAGAATGAAATCACTGAATAAGATTTTCACGCAAAGATTACGTGTGTCTCACTGATTAATCCTGATTGCAAATGATGATACGACGGAAGTTTGCAAATTATAAAAATATTTCGAAAACACAGTCACGGTAACGTTTCGCTGATTTACACTCCATTATTTTTCATTACTTTATTCCTTCATTGCTCGATTGAATGTAATGTATCGAATCAAAAGAATTTAAGAGAGATAATATTTCAATTTCCTTGATTATAAGTGCTACATGCTGGTTCGTGTGACTCGATTAATAATATTCCACCTACGCCTTATTGAGTCCCTCTAGATTATGCCCCAACAATTTAACAATTTGCTAAATAAAATAATGGTATATCGTTAACGCGCTGATGCTATATGCATGAAATCAATCCATACATATCCATTCATCTATCCATAATCTATGAATGATTGCGCTGTAATTGTTTTTATCAAAATAATCATTGAATAAATTCCCCTCGTTTATCAAGAGAGATAGTCTTCCTTCAAAGCCCTAGCATTATTTACTTTGCTATAGCAGTAGAAACACGTAATTCCAAACAAACTTCGTGGAATCTATCGTGACCATAATTAGCCAAAACGCTAGCCACGTTATGCGGAACTGTTTAGAATTCATAGAAGTGACTCATTCTCAGTATTGGACACGATACTGACTTTCTACAAGAAGCTCGGTTTTTCTGCGACTTCCTTTCAATCCTATCAAATGCGAGCAAGTGAATAAATACGTGCTCGCATGCGTTGGTGTAGCAACGCAGAGTGAGAGCAATTTATACTCGGTGATCTTGTTACGATCTTGTTACGTTCTGTTTGGTTGCAGTCCTACCGTGCAATTTTACGATCGATTAAACTATGAAACAGATCACACGTAACGGATCGTTACGTCCTCCGACGTACAAGCGTCGCTCTTCTAAATTTTGTATTTTCAGCCTCCGAGAATAAATGATTAAATCTCTGATCCAATGGAATACCAATTAGCTTCTATTAATTAAGAATTATAATTATTTAATTGGAAGAGGTTCTTACTCAAACAATACTTCAATTGTCCATTGAGACTTACAGAATCGTTAACTGTTAATACGGTAATTCAAAGATCCGTAATCCTCTTAAGCTCGAAACGTAAAATTGAGAAATCTGGATTCTCGGCTACCTTGAATGCTAGACGTTGGCATGCATCACAAATTTTTTTTAGACAAACTTTCACTTAAATAAAATTCTCTACTCTGTATGCACTGACTATTGAAAGTGTCGATCAACTTTAGGGAAGAGAATATAAACTCAGGTAAAAGAGCGTATCGTCTGAAAATATGAGTAGCTACTGTATTGATAATTTATCAATGTCAGTTCCTAAAAGAAATCCTTGAAACATTCTCTAACGTTACGAGGATAAACTCAGTGATGTCACTGCCACATACACAAACCGTGCAAGGAAGCTATTTCCTTCACCGTGTAAAACTAGTCGATCAGTTTGCACAGAAGAAAAGAATTTGCTTACCGTAAACAATTAGAACGATTATCGTGCAGATCGCGATCAACTTGGCGTTCATGTTTCCTGGCTTTTATTTCGTTGTGCCAACGTGAAACTAAATCGATGTCGCGTCCAAAGATCACTCAGTAGAACGGATCGATGCGCACTGCTCGATGTTAAACTCGTTACTGAAAGACTTCCCGTGGATCGGCGCGCATGAAACCAGTCTGGAATTGCAGTCTCGTGTCTGTACGTTTTACGTCGTTAAGCTTTCTCCTCTCGAGTCGATCTCCGATGCGTTCACGGCATACGATAGAATGATCTGGTTACAAGGAAACTACACGGTAAGGTCACTGAATTTTTTTGAAACAAGGACGTTGGCCCTCGAGGATATTTAGTCTATTTTTAGTGTATGATAGTATGTGATTGTATAATATTTTTAAAACTGAAGTTTATTTTTATCATTCCTCTCTTTAATTGCAATTGATTCATTTCTTTCCCATTTAGGAAAAGTTGAATTTCACAAATTTGAAGAACCGTTCAAGAGGATATAAAAAATAGAAAAGGAGGATCCGAAAGAAAATGTGGAATCGTTTAATCCATCAATTATTTTAAGAAGATATACCATTACATGATTATAACATAATAACTGTATTCAACCCGATATATAACAATATGATACATAATATAAAGTTCTAAGAGAAATTACTACAAATCATTTGAAATATGTTAGAACATTGGAAGCCCGAGGTCTATAACTTCTTTCCCGAAGTAAGTAAACGAATGCGTGTAAATGGTGAATTTGGTACCACCAAGAGAAACCGGGCAAACGTTGTTCGGCCTTGCGTGGAAGCAGATAGTATACAAGGACATTTCCAGCTCAGGAAGCGTGCCGATGAATATCGTTGCGTTCGGTCGAACGATTCCATCCATTTCGAAGTTCAATTTCAGTAGCGAGGCGGTCTGAAGGCAACATATGTTTAATAATGGAATTAATAGAAGTATGCGAGAACACGATGATCGGATCATCGACAATTTCAGGATTTTTTACTTACATTGCCCAAGTCCAGTTTGTCCACGTATCCCATGTAATTCATTCGTTTCAAAGACTCCTGACTCGCGAAGTAAATCCAATCTTGGACACCGATTACAGCCGTGCCGTAATTCTCAGCCGCGAACACGCGTTCGAATCCGCAGGTGCTTCCGCTAAATATAGTGAACCAAATTCGACGAAGTACGTCCTTCTTTTCAAAATCATCCGGGTCTATAAATCCTTTATCGGCTAGCCATCGCATAGCCGATGACATCTCACTTGTCTCCAGGACGGTATCAATCAACAGATTCTCCTGTTTTCTTGTCTCGAGTGTACGATTCAATTTCTTCCGGAAGTCGTGCTCATAAGTGTCATAAAGAGACCGCGTTACATAAATCGTCGGATACTCGAACAGTTCTGGGTCCACCTCGAACAATCTGTAAACGGCAAACGAATGAGATGTTTAAAGTATAAAAGAACAATTATCGTAGTACGATAATTTGTTGCTGAGTAGTAATGTTCCAAACTTGAAAATTAGAATATAAAGAGGGAGAACAGAGTTTAATACGTACGGTTCTTTAGCTTGATCCGTTATGTTTGTAGACGCAGCCTTGGCCTGTAGATTCAGTTTGATGTACTTAGACAGATTGTGCGGATTTTTCGCGAACAATTCTTCCGTTATTTTATAAAGTTCGTCGTCGGAAATTCTATAGGTAGGTACATACACCTCGGGATGAACGGTGCTGTCAGAGAGATTACTTTGAGGAACAGCAGAATTCGTTGGATTATTATTTAAATTTTGGGATCCAGTTGTTGTGGTTCCACTAACAGCTGGAGATGTATTTGACACTACACTGGCAGGAATGCTTGGGATATATGAATTCGTATTTCCAGAAGGAACATTGCTATTTCCCACATTTGGAGTAAATCCTCCGGTTGGATTACTGCTAGCAGGCGGTATATACGGAGCAATTGATCCAGCATTTCCTTGTGGAACACTTGTGGGATTCGTATTGCCATCTGCGCCAGGTGCGGTGTTAATGTAATGATTGTTGTAAGTAATATGAGTCGTCGTCGAGGGAGCAGTTTCAGCGGGTCTGGTTTCAACGTAACGAGTGTGAGGATTTATCAGCCTGTTTACTCCCGCGTTGATGGTTGAGAAGACAAGCGCTTCTTTAACCAATTGGCCAAAACCTGGACCGGAACTTTGCTGCCCGGGTACCATCAAAATTGTCTGCCCGGGTATGAACGGTTGCACCGCGGGTTGTGCCATTTGCTGTGGATGGTAAGTCTGTCCATAATGCATTGGTCCGTTTGGAACACCTGCAGGAGCACCGTAAGCACCAGCATGAGGATGCATGGAATAAGGATTGCCTAGAGGCATCGAGTTCGTCTGATGCAATGGAGGAGACATCGACGGATTTGACCAAGGACTACCTGAAGGCATTGGATGAGTCGGATATGGAGGATGACCACTAGCCGAAGAACTTAAATGGGGACTTGTTGGCATAGGCATGGGGTGTATAGGATACGGAGGATTTCCACTTCTTGGTGGACTGAATTGGGTCCCAGCAGAGGTTGGGTGCGTTTGTGGATAGACATGATCTCTGAATCCAACAGGCGGCGGTTGAGAACCCGGTACACTTGGTTGGGAATTCGGCATGAACGGCTTATTATCTCCTGGCCGAGGATTATTCCATGGAGAACCGGAAGGTACCGAAGGAGTTCCCTGATTAGGAACTGGATTAGGCTTCCATGCAGGATGTGTATCGACTGGTGCAGCTGGTTTGTTATTATTCAAGTAAGGATTGCTCCAAGGAGGATTTGCTGGTCCTGTTGATGAATGACCTGCAACATGAGTTGGTCTGCAAATCTGCGTAGACTTTGGTAACAGAGTAACTAAGATCATCTTGCATTTTATACCTTGATTTTGAGTTACCCCTGCAGTAGATTTCATAATATGATCTTGAGACGGTGCAGATGGATGAAGCGGTGAAGTCTGTCTGCTCTCGGTCACAACTGGTTTGCCGACTGGAGGGACGTGTCCAGGCATAACAGGATGTAAATTCGTAGGGTAGGGTGGTTGAGAAGGCATCGTTTGAGCTTATTTAAAAATGTATTCTTTAATCTCTATATTTTTACCTGAGGCTTTATACTGCAATATTTACCTGGCCTCGTAGCACCTCCGCCTTCTCCATGTAAAAATTGAGTATTAACATGATGAGCTGTATTCTGTGATCCTGTGAATTTTGAAATACGTCAAATTTGAGAACATTTATATTTGTAATTACCATACATATTAGACTGTGCGGGTCAGCTTTGACCTGTAGTTGTAGGCGATGTTCCTCCATGAGGAGTTGCACGTGATCCACTGGTAGGACTCACATGCGTTCTTCCGCTATGCGATGTTCTTTGTGGAGTCCTACCAAACGATGTTCCATGGGAGAGCCCGTGTGATGATCCGCGCGACGATGCGTACGACCCTCCGCGCGATGATCCGCGCGACGATCCGTACGACCCTCCGCGCGATGATCCGCGCGATGATCCGGTACCGAGACTAAACTTTGTTGCTTCGATCCCATCTAATTAGAAGATTAAGTAGGACACGAATAATTAAATATTAAAAAAATAAAACTGTAAAACTGAAGTACTTGCCGAGTACGAGGATCACGCAAACGAATATGAAAGCGTACGCTTTAAATCTCATTATTTCCAGACGTCACGTACACTACTGTAACATACCACAGATCTTACTAAAATGCTTGATTGACAAATGCGTACAGTTTACACTCTCGTTTATCAAACTTTTTTCCTCGTAAGTGCATTACATCTTGCAATGTTATCTGTTTGGTTTTCCTTGAAATCACACTGTATAACGAAAGGTCATTGCTGCTGACCTTATAGAGATACGGGAATTTCTAATGATAGCAATAACATTCTCTCAACAAGCTTTTATTTGGTCCAAATAACAACTTCCACCGAAATACATATATTTTATAAGTATCAAATTATAAGTAAGTACGCATAAAAATTAAGACTCAATAATAAAATGTTAACAAACGTCAAGATTCATATAAACTGATATAAATTGATCTCTTACACATGTACTGGGAACCATTACCAAAAAATATTCTTTGTCTAAAAGGATGAATAACCATCGACACGGCCTCCTTTCGTGAAAATACTGAGATTGATAAATCAGTTCTTGTATCATGGATTCGGTTTACTTTTCTTTCGCAATGTATCTGTCTAAGATCTTCTCACTTGGATAGTCTGGAACTGACAATTGTCTGAATCCTTCATCGTCGACAAAACAAATCTCATGACCATCCTAAGAAGTTGCATTCGTATCACAGTTATTAATAATACATCACATTTATTTTTTAAATTTGAGGATAAAATATTTAAAATATACTTACTGGATCAGCGAGAATAATGACTCTCACAGAAGCCTTCCCTGGAGTATCTAGAGTGATCAAGTCAGTTAATATAGTATTCCCACTGTCTTTAATCCTCTTTTGAATTTCTGGCTGCTGTGCATGAGGAACAGAAAATGCGATACGTCCGTAAGCCGTAGCATGAACAACTTCAACACCTAATCAAACAAACCAGTATAATAAATGTCTTCTTCATCGTGATTGCATCATATTGCAAAATGCTTACCAATACTTATGAATTCGACCTTCGCCTGATCTGCACTATATCCCATAAGTACAGTTTTCTCAGTTTGATCAAATATTTTCAAACCCAATATGTCCTTCCAATAAACAATAGTTTTCTCAAGATTCGAGCTGGATAAAGATACTTTCTCTACAGGGTCTATTAAAAAATAGATTTTTTTTATCTAAATGAACATGAAAATTAGAGAAAATAAAAATTCGTTCATTCTTAATACCTTTATCTAGAGGTTGTGGTTCGTCAATGAGATAGTATTTGTAACCACCAGGTGCTTGTAAAACAAATTTTCCCCTTTCTTCCTTCACTGGCCATCCTTGCGAACGTGCTCTTTCAAGCGCCTCTTTAGATTTGATCGTTATGCCACAGAAATCATTTCCTAGCTTATATTCCTTAATGCCATAGTTGTAAGTTAACTCGACCACGAAGTGACTATCCTCTGGTCCATATCCTATCATAGTCTTGCTCCATCTGTTCGCGTATGGCCTGTTAAAAAGACAAGAAAATTATAACAATTCGCAAATAGCTTATGTATTAGACAAACCCGTTGCAAGCCGCCTCGCATCCTTCGGAAAATTCCTCGTGTCGTAATACCTGTAACAAAAGAATAGTTCCGTGAAATATACAGTGACTCCGGTTAATATTCAAACAAATTTCGAAGTCGAATAACATTTTTCATATTAAACCAAACAACTGAATTTTTTGTAGGATGCTACAATGTTTGAAAAAGTTTGAAAACGGTCAGTTTGATCTGTAGTGGTTTAGAGTCAATAGGAGTTACTGTAGATTTAATTGAATAAAGTACTGACCTTCATCCCAAGGATTTCGCGATAAAATTTTACCGTCTGCTTCCGATCCGGTATTTTAAATACATAATGAAGAGCGCGTCCAGTGGCCATTCTTAAAAGACCTATCTTTGCAGTTGTCAAAGAATGTTAAACAAGTAATTCTTTCTGGAGTTAAAACGCAAGGATCTCCACCCACTGCAGTTATTATACAGACTGACCGTCGCTGATGTTCTCCAAAGAAAAACCCATTAATGACTAATCGTTGAATTTAATTACATATTTGTAATTGTTGAAGCGCTCGTGGCATGTGATCGTTTCTACTTACCTCTCAGGCTATATGTAACACCGTCGATGTATCTTTATCCTCTTATCAGGGCTTCAGGAAAAATGAAATAAGAGATTATTCGAGATAAAGTAACTTATATTTGTTTATTTCGAGACGTTGTCATTCGCCTCATGGATTTACTTCCAACGTGGGAATGGGTGCAATCGGTGTAATGCTAATGTTATCCTTTATTTACAAGAAGATAAAAAGTAGATACGCCATATGCCTTGGAGTTGGAAGTTCGGTCATTGGAGGCAGTAGCTCACAGCTCGCGGCTAACGAAATCTCTGCTTTAGCGGCAAACCAAAAGACGATCGTATAACGCAAGCGCAACATGTATTTCAGCTTTCCAAGTTCAGCCTACTTCATATGAGTTACTTCGCATCAGATCTGGTCGAACTGTTGAAGGTTTATAAGTGGGGAGTGTCATTTCTTTTGTAGCGTTACAACGTTACAAACACATCTACGCGTATGAATTCTACGCTGTAAGTGATAGTGGTTAATTAGTCAGCCATTTACTCCTCGTCTTGAGTTAATCACCATTCCAAGCAGCTGCGATCGGTTCTACGTTCGGAGAACATTGCACATTTCCTGGGAATAAAAGGTAAATAAATTCTACTCGGCGCACGAATGTCATTATCGATTGTAACAATTTCCAGAAAGTGCGCATGACGCATCCAATTGACGTTTACTATTATTATTCCTATTTCTCCGATTAACATTCAGTATATCTGAAAACAGTTTTAATACCGTCGTTGCTAAAACGTTTTCTAATACATACAAGTTCAAGAAGACTCGAACGTTACATTACGTCAGTCTCTAATACGGAAGAATATTTAAGTAAATATATTCTCGTCGCCTTCTACGTATCATCTATTTCGCAATTTTCGTCGTAAGCCACTTTGCCGGGTGAAATACGAATTGTTTAATCGATCGGATTTACACCGAAGTAAAAAAACAGTGAATATTATAAATTTTCGAGTACGTGATGTTCCTTGACTTACATAACGCTATCAATTCATTTTTTTCTTCTATATCCATAGTTTACCGGAATACATTTTATGCAACTATTATGTTTAACAAGAAATCATCTTTTTAACGACATTGAACGATAATACCAATGTGATCTAAATATTACGCATGTTGACGTAAATTTAATTATTAACTGGTATTTTCATGCCCTTTTCAGCTGATAATGACATACCTTGGAAAGAAATTAATGAGTTAGTGTTCATATTTACAGCGTCTGAATACGTGATTAGAATCCCTGTGAGAGTTGGTTTGTCAATAAACAGAACTGATTAAATTGCATTCTGAAAAATTGTCTATAAATATGAGCACGTTATGTGTTAGCTAAAAGTATTTCAGACACACCTTTCTTATATTCTTTACTAATCAATCAGGTTGAGATAAGATTCTTCACTTCTAGTTTTCGTTTAACACTGAATCATTTTGATATTATCATTTTCTCTTAATATGAATTCTACGAAAATGTTATTTTCACGTGTCAAAGTGTAATCATAACATGATGCAATTTCATTATTGTTTTGTTCAATGAGTTCTTTCAATAACCATTTTGGGCATGTTTTGTTAATTACGTGGAGAAATTATTACAGTTTCTGTGTGTGCTTCGTTCTATTAAGAATGTAAATACAAAAACTTACATATAGTCTTGGTGTAGTGATGGTCTTAACTGATAAGTGATAAAATGATTTGGAGCATGTCAGGAAGTGAGTTTTTTCAGTAACTTCATGTATGTATTCAGTAGTATGTATTCAGTAACTTCATGTATGTATTCAGTATACATTCATGTATTCGTATGCTGGTCCCATTGATGTTTCCATTACCGTAATTCTTATGGTAATAATAGGTTCTTTTTCAGTTAAAACAAAAACGATAAGATGACAACTTGGCAGACACCAGGTGCAGGATTTTATCCAGGGCAACAAGGTTCTCATATTTTTCCTAAGTTATATACATTCATTACTATTACATTACCCTTGATATGCAAGTGTATTTAACAGCGAGCACCCCGATGCTTGTTTCAAGTGGCGATCATCGCTCAGTCATCGATAAAAATGTTTATCAGCCATAAGATTATTAGCTCAAATCAGGTATTCGGAGAAGTTCTTGCTCTATCCTTGCGATCGTAACCAATGGTCAATTAGCAAGAGCTTTTTTTGATACTTGAATTGATGCAGCAAATGTTTTTATCTGCTCAGAAATAAAAAAAAGTATTTGAATAAAATGAAGCACTAACATTTAGTGGCTGTTAATAGAGCACAAAATGATATGAGGAGTGATGCTTAACTTAGAATGGAAATTCTATTGTATCGTATTATCTTACGTGTTTGTAATTTGATTGTGCAGGGTATCCTCAGCAAAATCCTGGATATCCACCTCAAGAAGGATACAATCCTGGTTATCCGCCTCCTTACGGAGCAAATCAACCACCAGGTCCGTTTAGTGTTATTCATTTTCAAATCGGGGGACGCAGTAGCGTCCCGAAGGCGAGTTTAAGTATAATCGATGCTTGCCTGACGGTGCCGAGGGATTTATTATTACAGTCGAATTGGAGATTGGACATTTTTTTTTATAGCTCCTGGTTTCATACCTCCGGGACCACCACCTTACGGACAGAGCCCACCCTTCGGGGCAGAACCACAACCGGGCATGTATGGGTCAAATTATGCCGAAGATCCAATGGGATCCGATATCAAAGGATTTGATTTCTCGGAGAAAACCATTAGAAATGGATTCATCAGGTTTGTATCACGATCACACTTTCTTTTCGTTCATACAAGTTCGTATTCATCATGTATTTGATTATAATTTCTCTTTCTAGGAAGGTTTACAGTATCCTGATGTGTCAGCTTTCAATCACATTAGGGATGATCGCCTTATTCCTTTATCATCATCCTACGCATAAATTTGTGATGGCACATCCAGAACTATTCTGGATATCTTTTATAGCAACTATCGTCATGATCATATGTATGGCTTGTTGTACCAGTGTCAGACGAAAAGCCCCTTTGAATTTTATATTCCTGTTCCTGTTCACAATAGCGGAAAGTTTCTTGTTAGCTACCGCTGCTTCTACCTACAGCTCTGAAGAGGTAACGCATTAGAAATTTATATAAATTTTTACTGTTATACATTGACTCCCGTCATTTCTAGTCCGAATATTAATAGGAGAGATTGTATAAACCTGATTGACCAACGTTGTACTAACCAAGTTGCACTTTTACAGGTGATGTTAGCAGTCGGAATTACTGCAGCCGTTTGTCTCGCACTGACATTGTTCGCATTCCAAACGAAATTCGATTTCACTGCTCTCAACAGTATTCTGTTCGTTGCACTGATAGTTTTCATGATTTTCGGACTAATCGCAATGATATGGAAGGGGAAGATTATCACCTTAGTATATGCATCGCTCGGAGCTCTACTTTTCTCCGTTTACTTGATCTTTGATACTCAAATGATGATGGGTGGTAGTCATAAGTTCTCGATTTCTCCGGAGGAATATATTTTCGCAGCGCTGACCCTTTACTTAGACATTATCAACATATTCCTTTACATCTTAACAATAATTGGCGCTTCACGAGATTGAGCTTCGTAAAACATTCTCCTCGTCGCTGGTTTAATCTTGAATTCAAAAACGCTTTTACTTACCGTCATTCTTGTTTCGACTCTCTCTGTCCTGTACATAGAGAGTTGAACTCAGGAAAGCAATGAGGAACATAAAGGTTTTAGCCGAGGAGCATTAGCTTCTATAAAATGATAGCTCTTACACAACTTGTTAGCATCACGAAAAGTATTGAAAATATATTGTTTTAAAATTAGACTTCTAGTCTTCTAAGTCAGACTATTCCTATGCTTGCTAAGGGAAGCAAGACACTTGTTACTGTAAAACATAAATAAGATTGTAAGGAATATAAGCGCATAATACTTATACACTTCTATTTATATTTGTTCATTTCATATTTTCTATAAAAAGAAGTATTACCTCCATTGAGTTCGCTCTAAAAAAAAATTTGTTTGATAAAAAAATATTTTTCTATTCTATTAGAAGATCTTAAGCAATATGAATTTAATTATGTCTGAACTGCTTTTCAGTACATTAATGTATGTATGTACCGTAGTATCGTGTTATATATTAAAATACTATTCTAACTTCAAATTATCCTACTAATATATACATATATTTATTCGTTGTATGTGTTTAGAAGCCAGAAGCTACGTTACTCGATTATGTTTGACAAATAAATCAAATACTTCGATTTGATATCATTTCTCTATTCTATTCTACAGATTTCTCTTCACTTCTGTTCTGAATGTAAAACATTTTTATGCTATTCTCCCGCGTATTAAGCACTGCAAAAACAAAGATGATATATGTGTGTCTATTACGATAAAGGTTAAACGCGCCACTTTTTATTGAATGTACATTATTATAATTTGTATTCGCTGTAAAGGAAAATAAAGAAAACAGTTGGTTCGAAATCGTGAATGTTTATATTTGTAGTAAATTAGTCTTACATAAATAGGATAAAAGCTCTCGATTTTAAGCTTTTAACTTTTTAACTTAAGAGGTAAATAAGCATATAATAGTGCAATGTTCGTATGAAAAAGCGTTCAATGTTCACATAGTTTGTTTTTTTATCTTTACGATTAAAAGCCCACATTCACTCTCACTCTTTTCAATATGGTAACAAATTGCAGCCTCGTAACAAACAAATTGTACCTAGTTGACTTTGTTCGTGTAACAACGCATCGAGTTTCACATGGAAAACGAAGCTCCATCGACAGCACATATATTATCGATTTCCTGTGTTCATTATAAAATCTGCGACGGAGCTTTAATGCTTGTATACATGCAATAGACACATTTATAAGTACAGTCATATATGTATGTGACAAACAGCATTTATAACCCACCCTTTAAAACCCAGGTATAATTAAGAAACTTCACTTTCTAATTGAAGGTATTTCTCCATAGTTTCGAATTCGTGTACCCCTCTGTCCGTCAGAAGTGTCATCGAGTAAGTTTCATCGGATTTGATTAGGCAGTGTTGTGAAGAGTTTAATTATACTATTATGCTTTAAATTATGCTCTAAATCTATCCACAAATCTATTTTGAGTGGCACGAGCTGATATATAGTAATATTATGCGCCGTTAAAATAAATAACATAAAATTAGCAGCACCGATTAGAACTTCTTTCTACCCTCCGATCGACTGTCACTCTATCAGGAGCATCTTGTGGTTCTTTCCCGTGAGTCTTCTCCAGTATTGCTTCAGCTAATTCACTAAACGCACGATCGATATTAATGTTTGCTTTCGCCGATGTCTCCATAAATCTGATTCCATGCTCTCTCGCTATCTGCAATCGAATAATGTCATTTATTACTTTACATTCAGGGATTTAATATACCATTAATATTTGAACACTTCTCAAAACTTTTTAATGGTGCATCAAAGAAAACAAAGTTTTTTGAAGAACCAAATATTAATGGAAGTTCTGTAATTAAAATTGTTTCTACTTTACCGCTTCTCCTCTTTCCGTGCTAACGACGCGCTTATCTTCCATATCACTTTTGTTCCCCAGTATCATCTTTTCCACATCTTCATTCGCATGCTAGATTTGATCAACAAGGAATTAAACAACTTCTTTTCATGGTGGTTCAAGGAGTTTCACAGACACAAACACAATTACACTTACTTCATCAATGTTTCTTAACCACTTGACTATATTTTCAAACGTCTTTTCATTAGTAATGTCGTAAACAAGCATAATACCCATTGCACCTCTGTAATACGAAGTAGTGATAGTATGAAATCTTTCTTGACCAGCTGTATCCCTGTAAACGTACAGATTAAAGACTGTTTAGATAAATTCAATACGTTCATAACTTACCATATCTGCAACTTGATTTTCTTTCCTCTTAATTCCACTGTCTTGATTTTAAAATCGATGCCTAAGAGACAAAAAGAAAAAAAAAGGTCGCTTGTGTAAAAGGATCTCGTATGTTCTATTTACATAAAACATTCGACTCTCATAACAATGGTTCAACGGACAAAAAATTGCACGAGACAACTACCGCACGAAATGTATCGAACGATAAAACTCCGATATTCAATTATTTATTCATCAATTGCAAATTACTTGATTTTAATTTACGATAATTATAATTTTGTTTAAACAGCATAACCTATTGTACATCGAAAAAAATGTTTTAAACGAGGAAAGGTAGCTCGGTTCACGAAATTCGGTATTTATCGTTGGCCGTGTATTTCTTACCTATCGTAGAAATGAACGTCGTTGAGAAGGCATCGTCCGAGAATCTAAACAATATACAAGTCTTGCCGACCCCAGAGTCGCCGATCAGCAGTAACTTGAACAATAGATCGTACGTCTTTTTCGCCATTTCACTGTTGCTCCGCGTTAACGAGCCGCCGAGGAAAACAAATACGACTCGAACCTGTGCAGCACGATCAACGTTATTCCAGACGATGTTTCGAACATCGAACGCTAAGAACGATTATAGGTTTCAAGGTCGGACGAGGGCGCGTCTCGACGTATGTACAACGGTGCCTCGTTAACGACGGAAAAACCGGTCACAGGGGCTGACTATTAAAAGACAATACGACGTCACGCGACGGACCAGCACGCAGAAGCATCGGGGTAACTTTACACTTTTCGTACGGCGAGCAGAAACACCGTGAACAGGTCCCGATATCGAGTCAATTTAGAATATCCTTGATATAATCATTTGTTCATTGTAATTAGCGGCGAACGCGAAACTACGCCGGGTTCAACTGCGGATATTTCGCCTACCACGGGAGGTCACCACCACTGCAAGAATATAATTTAAAATCACCCGGATACTAACGGGACAGCTCGCGCTCGCAAACTGTAATCGCTCTTTTCGGACTACGATTTTTTATCATGCATGCATTTAAACGATTCTGCAATTTGATATGTATTTTTTGTTACTTTATATAAATCAGCGTCAATAAATGCGAACTCTCAAATAGGAAAACAAGTAGGTTTTACAAATATTTTCTAAAGCATTTAACATCCAATGTTCAAGCTCGTGAATAATTAAGCGCATCGTTAATATAAAATGTCGATGCTCCTTTTGCATATTCATAATTTCCTCTTAAACCTCGAATCGCGTGTCGACAGTATCTAAATGCGTTTTAACAAACGTACTATGTTTTTTTCAATGTAACTATTGTAAACAAGTTGGACTTTATGTTTCTTATTTTATTCGAAAGCAGTGTTAGAAGAGACGATCTCATCAGTAATGTTAAATGAATTAGCTGCACTTTGCATTAGTGACATGCTAGCTAGATACCGGCTGTTCCTTTTTCTGTGTATTTCACGTCACTGCAGCATGCGACAAGGACAGAGATTTTTAGTGCCACTTGCATCGATTCTGTCATCCCGTTTGATAGTTCGACTCGATAGTAGGAACACAGAATGACAGTGGAGGTTTGTGATTCACCGTAGTGATAGAAAAAGATAGCGTTACTTTGTGAAAAGGCAAAGGCAATGACATTATTTTCGGAGTATAGTCGGTCCATTGAGTGGGTGGCGCTGCGATGAAAACGTCCGTGGATCAACAGGACACGCAGCAAAATAAACAAACATTGGAATAAACACCTAACCTATGAAGTGTTCGTTGAAAGTCCGTGCTATGACCATAGAGATTCTATATCTTCTACCAAGCCTAGCACGTTATAAATATATTACACTTCTCTTCTAGAAATATGCTAGAAAAAGTATGATTTTTCATATTTTGTTTATATACATACAGTATGACCCCGCTTTTCTGTTGCAAACACATTTATTATCCTTTTACAAAAAAGTTATTTATAAAAATTAAACTTTGTGGATTCCTCATTACAATGTTAAATTAAAAGTATGAACATTGAACAACAATAATTGTTTAAGGCAAGATTTGAATTTCCGCGCTCCGTCCATATACCACGTGACTCGCGGCCGTTTTCAATAGTGCGTAATCTGGTGGTCGATTTTCGAAGCGTACCCGGGTTTCATTAGTGGCGCTACCCCCACCATCAAAGTTTCCGGACCTGTATATACGACCGTGATGTTGGTCAGTGTTGGTGGTTAACCCGTTCGTTACATAAACTCCGTGCAACTCCGTGGACCCGTCGTGAATCGCGTACGAAACGTAACAATTGCCCGTGTCCGGATTTCGCTGAATGTATGTTTGATGCGTTGCGCGTTGTTGGCCGCCGGGCGTGTCAACTGATCGAACGGTAAGGTCCCGAACGCGTACGAACGCGCGCGATAGTCGGAGGATCCGGATCGGTGCGAGCGTAACGTAATCGAAGCGATGAGCGAGAACGCGGAGATAACTGGTGTCGTATCGCCGGAGGATGCGGCCGCCGCGGAGAAATTCAAAGAGGAGGCGAATGACTATTTCAAAAGTGAGTACCAGAAATGTAAATAATCAGAATTAAGGAAATCGGGTGTCGGGTTTAATGGGCTTTCGTCACGTGCACCGTGCTAACCTCAATTGAGCCCCGACTTAACCGTTTTAACCTCCCAGGGAGCTTGAGCTCGATATTTATTTAGTAGTAAAGTATTGCTATTANAAAATTCTAATGTACTAATTTCTGCAATCAGAAGTCTTCTACATTCACACACAAATATAAAATGCAATATATTAATTACCCTTACAGATCAGGACTATATGAAGGCGATAGAATTATATACGAAAGCGATCGAGTTGAACCCAACAGTAGCTGTCTACTATGGCAACAGGAGTTTCGCCTACCTGAAAACAGAATGTTTCGGGTACGCGTTGACGGACGCCTCGAAAGCGATCGAGTTAGACAAGAATTACGTGAAGGGCTACTATCGAAGAGCCGCCGCCCACATGTCCCTTGGCAAGTTTAAACTGGCTTTGAAGGACTACAAGACCGTGACGACTGCCAGGCCGAACGACAAAGACGCCATGGTCAAATACACGGAGTGTTGTAAAATGCTGAAAATGCTTGCCTTTAAAAAAGCGATCAGCGTTGAGGAAAACAAGAAGAATATCGCGGACATGATAAACCTAGAAGCTATGGGTAAGGCAAAATTTCAAATTTCTTTAATTTGGAATTTTGTTTTGTTAATTATCAGATTTGTTCACTAATTTATTTGTCTTGGATCATTTTTTTAGCTATTGAAGATGAGTACACAGGGCCGCAGCTCGAGGACGGCAAGGTGACGCTGGAGTTCATGCTGGACCTCCTCGAGTGGTACAAAAAGCAGAATAAATTGCATCGGAAGTATGCGTACCAGATACTCTTGGACGTGAAGACGTGGTTCATGGCACAGCCTAGCTTAGTCGATATCACGATTCCGGAAGATAGCAAGTTTACTATTTGCGGCGATATTCATGGGCAGTTTTATGATCTGTTGAATATATTCAAGCTAAATGGGCTGCCGTCACCGACCAATCCATACGTATCCTTTTTATTGAAAATTAGGAAGATTTTTGAGGTTCAATGAGTTTGGTGATGGTTGGGGCAAGAAATGGAATAGGATGTCTTGATTCGGAATCGGAGGACCGAAAGCAATCTTTAATTAACGTTTCTTAACAAATTAGTACAGTTATTCAATGGGGATTTTGTAGATAGAGGTTCTTTCTCCGTGGAATGTATATTCACGCTGTTCGGGTTTAAGCTGCTGTTTCCGAATCAATTTTTTATGTCCAGAGGTAAGTCAGTTATTCTACTTTCCTATTATAATTATTATTATTATTATTATATGAATTCTACATTAAATGTAAATAAATAATGTTGAAATGTTTTTTTTAAATAGGGAACCATGAGTCAGCGACAATGAATCAAATGTATGGCTTCGACGGAGAGGTGAAAGCGAAATACTCGGCTCAGATGGCCGAACTATTCACGGAAGTGTACAACTGGCTGCCGTTAGCTCACTGCCTTAACAATAGAGTTCTCGTAAGTCTCCTAACCCAATCTAATTAACAATTATTAGATCACCAATTTTATACAGTCACAAGAAAATTGAACAATATTAAAAAAATATTGAAAACGCCCTTCGTTCTATTTATTTCATATATTACTGTAATTGAATTTGCTTTTTGGCAGGTGATGCACGGGGGCCTATTCTCAAGGGATGATGTCACCTTGCAGGAGATCCGCGAGATAGACAGGAATAGGCAACCGCCGGAGGAAGGTCTAATGTGCGAATTATTATGGTCGGACCCCCAGCCGCAGCCGGGCAGGGCCCCAAGCAAACGGGGCGTCGGGGTCCAGTTTGGACCCGACGTGACCCACAACTTCCTGAAAATGAATAATCTAGACTACATCGTGAGGAGCCACGAGGTGAAGAACGAGGGCTACGAAGTCGACCACGACGGCAAGTGCATCACCGTCTTCTCGGCTCCGAATTACTGGTAAGATTCATAAGATAAAAGATTCATTTAATTCCAGTGTTTATGTTTTATTATTATTTACGATGATTAATTAGATTTTTATTTTGATACTGATTTTTTGTGATATTAGTGATACGATGGGTAACCAGGGTGCCTTCATCACACTCAATGGAAAGGATATGGAGCCACATTTCACATCCTACGAAGGAGTGGTATGTATATTCTTGATCCAATTTCGATTTATTGACGCTAGCGAAAAATGTTAAAAATAAAAGTTGTAGCTCTAATTATTAGCTACAAATAAGATCCTATGCATTTTTCATCTAACTTCAATAGTTTAAGAGTAACTAACAAAAAACCTAAGGCTTCCCAACGAACATTTAATCAATAATTGTCTCTGTTCTAGCCTCATCCGAACGTGAGGCCGATGGTATACGCCAACTCGCTACTAAAGTTCATGTGCTAGTGATCAAATTAAAATAATAAACTAATCGAGTGACGCGAACTGAGGGCTAAAATAAGCAACAACAACAGACGATGCGACTATTGTTATTATCACTATTATTATTATTATAATTATAGTTATTGTAATAATAATTAAAGTACCGGNAGATTGTAGAATTCGACACTGCTAAGTCTCAATAATTTCATTGCAATTAATGGAATTGGGGGAATTTCAATTATACGTTAAGTGAATGTGGCAATGTGGGAGGGCTGACTGATTAATTAGTTGGTTAACGATAATCGATCGATTGATTTCGACATAAATCAACGATGAGTACGGAATATAGATTTGTACAAATAGACTGCAAGTTTTCGTTTGAATGTTTTTTTAAACAAATACAATGAGTGCAGTAGTGTTGCAGTACGTTTTCTCTGTTAGACATGACTCATTGACTAATTTCTATCGGAATACTCGATAGTGGATGTTGTATTAATGACAGTGGGTCCAATTCTATAGAGATCAATGGACGCATAGCCTCATAATATTATTCTATCATTATACAATGTTAGTAATACAATTTTGTTTTAACGTTCAAAAAACGCGCAGTCTATTTATACATGCCTATGGTATTAAATGAACGAATCGATGAATAAATGAATTGAATAAATAATTAACACTGTCTCATCTTTCTTTTCGTTCTTGTTATTATAAGATATATACGTATTTTCCTTCGGAAGATATGTATGCGTATTTTCATAAATAGGAATACTAGTTATTAATTTCGACTGTGAAGTAAAACATTTATTTGGCCTTATAATAAATCCATTATTTTGGGCCTTATAATTGTAATTGTTAAATGAACTGAAATTGGGTCAGATACTATAAGTAGTAGCAGCTATCCGTAAATGAAGTAGGATTATTGAATAAGGAATTAAATTTATTATTAAAATTAAATTAATCCTTACTATGGATAAATAATTAGGAAATTATTTGGAGGATCTGTTCAGGAACTTTGTCTCTGTTTTGAGAATTCACGGTGATAACTATGCTCCGTTTGTCTTTGTGGATTTCCTCGAAAAACGAAGAGTACTTTCTCGAATTTTTAACTTTCGACATCAGAGGCACGGTAGCTATTATAAATGGCAATTTCGAATTTGTTTGAAATAATTTTGACACTGCTTCAAAGAATTTTTCACTTAACAATTCCATTTTTCCAATTTCATCGATTATTAACACGTCCTGAAACATAAGTCAATTTTTATTTAACATAAATAATATATGGAATGATTTGAAAAAATTCTCATATGTACTATACTGCAGTAGTAGTACATCTCCGAATTTTTTCAAAATTTTCTATTAACAATTTACAGTAGATAAAAATATCTCTATGATAAATGTTAACTTACTGTGTTCGAATCGAAAATTGGTAACGCGGTTTTTTCAAAATCGTCAACGAAAACACAGTAATTGCCAATCGTTGGTTTTCTTCTGCCTCTATTTCGAACTTCGCCCGCCAGATTTCTGTCCACAAAAATCAAATTATTATTATTATTTCTTTTAATGATTGATTGTTAATATTTACCCAGCGCGTGCCAAAATTGATCTCCCATTCAAATTTTTCAGTGGAACCACGTCAAAACCAATTCTGCCGCCATTTTGATTTCGAATCTCTTCAGTGTAAAAGCCGTCAAAATTAAAATTTCGATTCTCCATCAGCGCGATCAATTTTTTACATATTGTCGTCTTTCCTATGGCTAATACATACGATTTTTCGATTTTTTGACTAGCCGCCAATTTATCACTTTTCTATTTTCTCAAACTTATAAGAATTTTAAGAAATCAAGTGAAGAATATTTTTCAGTAATTTTGGATAAAACTGTTAATATTATTATTGTATTATACAGAAGAATAATCCTTTTATTTTTTAATGTGACTCACATGGGGGGCCGGTGATTAGTACCCGAGTGCCTCGTGTAACAACGCCACAGTCCATTTAAAAATTTCCCAAAAATTTTTAATATTTATTTAGTATTTACAGCTGAATAAAACAGAATTCGATTTAACTATTAATGAATATTAATATTTATTACAATTAAGAATTCCAGAAAGTTTTTATATGATTCGAGAATTTTTTCAGAAATTTTGGATTAAGTAAACCTTAGAATTGAGGAAAAATATGTAAACATTTTTTGTTTTCAATGCTTGGATTAGAATATTCAGAATAAAAATACCTTAATATTGTTTGCAGACGTGTACACCTGTTGCACAGACATCTAGCAACTTAGTACTTGCTTTTACTTATCACGAGAATTATATTTATAGCAACTTATAGTCGTAAATTCTTTTAGAGAGGTTAGGACACTAAAAATAATAGATGACCGTGAACTTCACGGCGTGAAGCCAAATGCACTAAAGAGATTCAAAAACTCCCGCGACGTATTCCCAGTAGGCGTCGCACGAGCCTGGCCAGACTGAGGGCGCCACTTGTCACCCACGCAGTCAGCGCATTCTCGTGACAGATTGGCGTTTGAAATTATTTTTCTAGCAACAGAAGCGAGCGTACAATCGCCAAACGAAGATTCAGCCAGAATTTTAATTAAAAACATCCAAACTAAAACATTAATATACGTTCTTGAAGAATATTCGACGCGTTTTCAACCGATCGGTGATCAGGTTTTGACCGAAGGGGAGGGAGAACTAACCTCGAACTCGCACCAGGCAGTCAGCTGATCCCGAGACGAGGTAAGTTTTCGTGATTTCAGGAATTTTCATTACTTAAATACAAAATTACACTCATAATTAAATAATCAAAATTTTAAATTATTCCTCCAGTATCGTTTTTGTATTTTCTTTTATTTTTGGATAATGTTGTTTGGATGCTGTAAATCGAATTAATTCAACGAAATTAGATAATGAATTACATTATTTTGTAATTTATTTGGTTCTTGGTTTTTATTATGTTTTGTTACTTAATTTCTTGGGAAGGGATTGATAATTTGAAGTGAATTATTGGTCTGTTATTTGGGATTGGATGGTGTCAATCTTAACCTCACTATTTCGCCACTGTTTCAGGTTTTAATATATTTAATTCGATTGTAATTTTGTTCTTTTTTTTAATATCTTGTTCTTTAATTTTCTTGGGTAGGATTTCACAATTCGAAGTAAATTAGTGGTTCGTAATTGGGGTTCGATGGTGTCAGTGTTAACCTCACTGGGTCGTCACTGTTTCAGATTTTGATATATTTAATTGGGTAGCAACTTTGGTTTTTCATTTTTTATATTGTTTTTTTGAAATGAATTGTAACTAATTCTGATTAAATATTGTGTCATATTTTTTATTCAAATGTTTTTGGGATGATTTTAGTGTAGAATGTTTCGTTCGATTGGGGATGGAATCAGAGTTTTTAGAGCTTGTTAGAATTGATGGGAAAAAGAGAAATCATAGAAATTTGGAATTTCGAAATCTTTTGTAGATTCGTTTGTTATATAAATTGTGAATGGATACGTGTGAAAAAATATCACACTAAGATATATATACTCCAGTAGAATGTTTGAGAATTTGTTCAGAATTTTTAGTACATTGGAATTCTAGAAAGAAAATGCAAAGCAAGAAAATGTGGAATTGTAGAATTTTGAAATTGTTTTTGGATTTCATGTTATGTAAATTGTTAATAGAAAAATCTGAAAAAATTACGCAAGATATACATGATATCATAGAACTCGTACGGATTTTTTCAGAATTTTCGATTCAGTAAAATTGAAGAAGGAAACTCTTAATCATAAAAATTCACCATTACAGAATTCAGTGAGACTTAAAAAAAAGGAAGAAAGGAAAGAATTTACCAAAATAGTTAAAGTCTAGAAC